ATATCGAACATTTCAAAGTGTGTGTGTGTGTATATATATGAGCTAGGTTCATATTTGGATGGACAAGTATTATGTGAATGTAGGGATTAATGTGAAGCAATAAATTTAAAAATATAAATAAGGGTAAAATTGTAATCATAACTATTAATTTTGATAATTAAAAGTTAAATTATACAACCCTTTAATTTATAGTGATATAAACCCTAAGCCACCACCAATTTTGATAATTAAAAGTTAAATTATACAGCCCTTTAATTTAGGTAAATTACTTTAGTGATATAAACCCTAAGCCACCACCATAAAACATAGAAGACGTCAACTTCAATTTCCCCCTCTTTCTATAAGAATCGGCGGCTGCATAACACATTTTATACAATCGTCGGCCAAAAATCGTTGGCAACCCTCTTCATCGCCCGTCCTCCAGCCGCCTCCCTTAACTTCGTTTTTCCGGATCCGGTCCCCTTCACCGATGATGGTGTCGCAACCTAGGAGGTAAAATCAAATGTGTAATGTCGGTTTTTGAAATCGACGGTAAGTATATTCACGCTTTGTCCAATTCCGAGTCTAAAATAGATTGTAAAGCCGATTTATAAAGACCTGTCGATTTCTAAAATTATTGAAATGGTTTTTTATGCGTGTTATTTAAATGGAATAACAAAAAATTAGTTTAGTTCTGATGGATCGACATGCTTAAAAGAATAAAAAGATAACTTTTTCTTATCCCTTTGGTTCCTGCATTCACTTCGGCAACAAATCAGAATAAGAGCAAAGAAGTATTTTTTTTTTTCTATTTGTATGTTTTTGCTATTGATTCAACAAGGTGGAAACAAAAAAATGTTGTTTGTTTGTTTGTTTTTTTTTCTTTTTGTTTGTTGTTTTACAAATTCTTTAGTTTATTGATTATATTGTAGTTATGTGGTGAGCTTATTCACTTGTAAAATTTGTGAGATGTGTGAACTTTTGTGCTTAACCAAAATTCGTTGTATATTTTCATTTATATTCAACTAGAAAGTTTACCCCGCTACGCGGGGGCCAGAAGCTTTCAATGTTGTTGCTTTCAATGTTGTTTCCGAATTGATAAATATGACAGACATAGAAAGTGCAAGGATGAAAAGTCCGGGCTTTGCCCCGGACAAAAAATGTAAAAGTTTTGACTGCAAGGACCAGAAGTGTGAAAATGGCTAAAGAATTAAAGGGATAGGAATTAACAACTTTTTAGAAAAGGGATCGAAGTTGTCAAACCGTTAAAGTTTTGTGGCCAAACTTTAAATATTAAAAGGTTTAAAAAAGTATAAAAATATTGATTGCAAGGACCAAAAGTGTCAAAATGAGTAAAGAATAATGACCAAAGTTGTCAAAAAACATCCAAATTTAGTATTCCTAACTTCCAACAATAATATTGGGACCAATTCTGCCAAAAAAATGGGAAGTTGAATGGAACACAAACAAAAGGACATGAATAAATTAATTAAGGAAGTACAGGGACCGGATATATAAATCAAGGGACCAAACTTTGACAAAGTATCCCAAGTTTACTATTCCTTTCTTCCACAACTTTAATATATATATAATAATAACATTAGTAATTCTGTCAGCATATAAATTGATAATTGCATTTTAGTTGTAATGATTCTTTAAGATTGCTTGTTAAGATTTATATAAGATATATTTTGGTTACAAATATAGTAATTTGTAATTGTATGATGATAATTTTGGTTCAGCCAAATGGTTATGTTTAACTGGTATTACTAGTGAATAATGCATTTGATGCGTACAAATAGTTACACCTAATTTTATATTTATAACCTAACTACCTTAACTAACTAATTGCACCTAGGCAGTGTACCAAGTCAGACTATAGTATAGCTTTGGGTAAGTCGGGTGTCGATCACAGGGAACGGTATTGACTAATTAATCTACTTACTATTAAATTAACCTAATTATTAACAAAGGAAGGGGTTTTATCTAATTTTGCAAGTTTAGATGAACTTAATTCTTTAACACAAACTCAATCAATAAACAAACATTTCTGTTAGTTCGAATCCGCTTTCACTCAATGGATTATAAATTAGATATGACAATTATTGTTGGTTACCAATTAAGACAGTATTAGCAATTTAGTTCTAAATCTACTAACTTTAATCAATTCATGTAAATCTATGTATGGTCACACAATAGTTAACACAGAATAAATTATTAAATAAAATTGGAGCTATGTAAGATTGGTTTGATAAAACACAATTACAGTCATAATTTGAGTTTTCTAGCGCAGCCTAATTTAATAATTAATTGCTTAACTAAGATTGGTTTAATTCTAGCACTAATAATTTAATATTCACTAAATTACCAGGTATTCTAATTCATGCAATTTGATGGTCATCAACTACACAAAATAAGACATCAAAGCAATCAACTACTAAAACAAACATGCTAGGTAAAATCAATCCAACACAAGTCTTAACCAACTAGTAATTCAAAGCTAAAGTAAATACTCCATGAGTTCAAGCTTCATCTAGCTAACAGAAGCAGCTAGATTTAGCTGGATA